TCTCCCTATGTCCAAGCGTGTCTCAATGAAAGTCAATGGGCATTGCATCTCCCCATGTCACCCTACGTCCATTCTTGTCTCAATGAGAGTCAATGGACATTGCATCTCCCCCATGTCACCCTATGTCCAAGCGTGTCTCAAAGAGAGTCAATGGACATTGCATCTCTCCCATGTCACCCTATGTCCAAGCGTGCCTCAATGAAAGTCAATGGGCATTGCATCTCCCCCATGTCACCCTATGTCCAAGCGTGTCTCAAAGAGAGTCAATGGACATTGCATCTCTCCCATGTCACCCTACGTCCAATTGTTTCTCAATGAAAGTCAATGGGCATTGCATCTCCCCCATGTAACCTCTCTCTCAAAGTCAGCCTCTGGGAATTCCGTTTCCCTCCCACGTTAGTCGACGGGCATTCCTTTCTGCGGGTCATCGTGTCCTGCGGTCTTCATCTATGGCTCGCGATAGGACCACCCCACCCCCCTCCTACAACTCCCCCCTTGGCCAAGGTCGCTTTCGCTGTAAGCGCACCGAGCCGAGCGCGTGGCACTCGGAGGCTGCTTCACATTCCGCCTTCAAAATCCTCTCCCAAGCGCGCAACGCCGCCGTAAATATAGCTGCTGCTGCTGCTGCTTCTGCTGCTGCTGCTGCTTCTGCTGCTGCTGCTTCTGCTGCTGCTGCTTCTGCTGCTGCTGCTCTTCGAGAGGTGCGAATTGAATAGCGGCCCCACCAGGCGCGTGTCGCCCCAACTTTGCACGTCACTCGGCATATTTGCGTCACCGCGGTTCGCCCACGCTCGCATCTCCCGGAGGGGGAGATGTGTTATCCAAGAGGCACACACGGTTAGGCACCGTGCCTAGGGAACTACTCACTCACTCATTCACCCATTCACTCACTCATTCACCCACTCACTCATTCATCCACTCACTCATTCATCCACTCACCCATTCACTCACTCACCCACCCACTCAGCCACTCACCCAGCCACCCGCTCAGCCACTCAGCCACCCACTCACTCAGCCACTCACTCATTTATTCATCCACTCAGCCACTCACTCACTCAGCCACTCGCTCATTCACCCACTCACTCATTCACCCACTCACCCACCCACTCACTTATTCACCCACTCACTTACTCATTCACCCACTCACTCATTCACCCACTCACTCATTCACCCACTCACTCATTCACCCACGCAGACACTCGCTCATTCACCCACTCACTCACTCACCCACCCACTCAGCCACTCACCCAGCCACCCACATACGCACTCATTCACCCACTCACCCACCCACTCACTCATTGACCCACTCACCTACCCACTCACTCATTCACCCACTCAGCCACTCACTCATTCACCCACTCACTCATTCACCCACTCACCCACCCACTCATTCACCCACTCACCCATTCACCCACTCACTCACCCATTCACCCACTCACTCATTCACCCACTCACCCACCCACTCATTCACCCACTCAGCCACCCACTCACTCACTTATTCACCCACTCACTCATTCACCCACTCACCCACCCACTCACTAATTCACCCACCCACTCACTCACTCATTCACCCACTCACTCATTCACCCACTCACCCACCCACTCACTCATTGACCCACTCACCTACCCACTCACTCATTCACCCACTCAGCCACCCACTCACTCATTCACTCACTCACTCATCCACCCACTCACTCATTCACCCACTAACCCACCCACTCACTCATTCACCCACTCACCCACTCACTCATTCACCCACTCACCCACCGACTCACTCATTGACCCACTCACCTACCCACTCACTCATTCACCCACTCAGCAACTCACTCAGCCACTCACTCAGCCACCCACTCACCCATTCACCCACTCACTCATCCACTCACCCATTCACTCATTCACCCACCCACCCACCAAGCCACTCACCCAGCCACCCACTCACGCACCCAGCCACCCACTCACGCACCCACCCACTCACCCACTCACTCACCCACCCACTCACTTACTCACCCTCCAGGGCCCTATTATCCTATAGGCCACAGTAGGAACTGTGCCTAGGGAACTACGAAACTAAAAGGGCCTGCTAAAAAAAAATTGACAGTGTTCTTTTGTTCGTATGATAAAAAAATGATGTAACCAAGATATCTTCTTGAATAAATATATTTACATAGCAAGGACAGACAACCGTGTATATACCAAGAAGCAGAGTCATCTGAATAGTTTTTTTCACAAGGTGAGAGAAATTAACACCGGAGATGAACGTGTCGGAAATGTTGACATGGCAAAATTAGCAAAAAACATCCCATAATAGTGTTTTTCACACAATTTTATTCTCAATGGAGAGTAGTGCGAGCCAATACAAAGCGACCTTGTTTTTCTATTTAAAGCTTTCGTGACTGCAGGGATTCATCTTCTTGGTTCTTTCGGTAAAGTCACGTAGAAGGTAAATAATAAAATTTCAACATTCTAAAAACAAAATTCTCACGAAGTTTCGGCCACAACACAAGCAGCCGTCCTCAGGTGACTTTACCGAAAGAACCAAGACAAAGCGGCCTTGTTGTGTTACGCGTGAAACAAGCGGAGTGGTAGCAGCAGTAGTATTAACATGGGGCAGCAGTAGCAGCGGTAGCAGTAACATGGGGACAGCAGTAGAAACTGTTGGACGTCATCACGAAAGGCCGACGAGACGGCGGTGCCTGAGGTTGGTGGACTACGCAGATACTTCTCTTCGCGCGCGATGTGCCACTTCCTCCGCTTGCACAGAAACTCGTCACCGGTTGCTGTCCAAGGTAGAAGAACACCTCGTGATAGACGCATTCGCGTCGGGCGCACAGATCCTTCAACGTTATGAAAATCGATTGATTGACTTTTATATTCGTGTCCATTGTATACACATTGGTTTATACTGGTAGGAAGCTCTTGGTTACACCAGCCCACAGGGGATTATTGTGTCCGTCCGTCCGTCGTGCAGGGAGGGGCTGGGTGGGGAGGGAGGGTGGGGAGGGGCTGGGTGGGGGATGGGAGGGGTAGGGCTGGGTGGGGGAGGGGCTGGTTGGGGAGGGTGGGGAGGGGCTGGGTGGGGAGGGGAGGGTGGGGAGGGGCTGGGTGGGAAGGGTGGGGCTGGGTGGAGAGTGGAGGGTGGGGAGGGGCTGGGTGGGGAGGGTGAGAAGGGGCTGGGTGGGGAGGGGCTGGGTGGGGAGGGTGGGGCTGGGTGGAGAGGGGCTGGGTGGGGAGGGGCTGGGTGGGGAGGGGCTGGGTGGGGAGGGTGGGGCTGGGTGGGGGGTGGGAGGGGTGGGGCTGGGTGGGGAGGGGCTGGTCACCCCGTGGTGCCCTTATAAAACTCAACGTTTAGCCTACTCACGCCGGCTTGTGCCCGCCCTCACAGTCGGGCATATTTGCGGAATACACACGCCGCCGTTGACCCTGTCCATTGACCGAGCAACCCAACGTTCCTACCAGCTCCCTCCGCAGGAATGTGTTAGACTGATTCCGTCATATCCTGGGTGGAGAAAAATTAACCCGTAAAAACAAAGTTTTTCACTATAAATCCTTTATATGCGTGGCGGCTAGAGTCTTCTCGTCCTCTGGCTTGAGATGGCTGCCACCTATGGGTCAGATGATTGTCTGCCAGTATTAAGTAAGTGGTAATTAAATATTTAATTTGTTTTCCCTAAACAGTGTAAAATTTTGGAAAAATAATTTCACGAACATTAATTGTCTCGCACAACGAGTCTGTGTGCAAAATGTCAGCTCGATTGGATCACGGGAAGTGGGTTAAAAAACGACCGAAAGATTTGCACGGTCGTAAGCGCGCAAGCAAGCAAGCAAGTGAACTTAATATAAAGGATTTAAGAAAACGCAATTCCTACCACACTGCACCGGAGAGAATTCAGATTAAAGCAGTCGGGGCGATTGATGGTCCAGCACTCACTGATTCGCCCAAATCAATCTCACCGGCGGTCATTCGCCTACTTGACGCTGTTTTATCGCTACTATACCAGGGTTACGTAGGATGGAAATAATAAAATAATAAAAATATAATAAAAATTAAACACCACACTGCAGTTGATGTTGAGTGGGTGGTTGTGGTTGTCTTTCCCGACAGACCTGTTCTTCACCTGAGGACGGCTGCTTGCGTTGTGGCCGAAACGTCGTGAGAATTAGATTTTAATGTTTTATTTTCATTACTTTATTACTTCCCTTCTACGTGATGACTTTACCGAAAGAACCAAGAAGATGAATCCCTGCAGTCACGAAAGCTTTAAATCGAAATTTGATGGGTGGATGGTTGTGGGTGATGATGGGTGGGTGGTTGATGGGTGGGTTTAGCTAAACTAGCATAAACATTTAACTAAATTAATATCAAAATTTAACCAAATTTGAATGATTAGTTAAACTAAATTATCATAAAAATGTAACTATACCAGCATAAAATGTGAACCAAACAAGAATAAAAAATTTAACAAAATTAGCATAAACATTCAACCAAATAGAAATGTACCTAATTAGCATACAGATACAAAAAATTGCTTAACAAAATTAGCATAGGACAACCGTCGACCAATCGGCGCGCGCCATCGCCGGAGCCACGCCCAGATTTTGCCCCTCGACCAATCGGATCGCTGTACCACCCCCCCCCCCTGGTGGGTGCGTTTAGCTAAACTAGCATAAACATTAAACGAAATTAATATTAAATTTTAACTAAATTTGCATGATTAGTTAAGCTAAATTATCATGAAAATGTAACTATACCAGCATAAAATGTGAACCAAACTAGCATTAAAATTTTAACAAAATTAGCATAAACATTCAACTAAATAGAAATTAACCTAATTAGCATACAGATACAAAAAATTGTTTAACCAAATTAGCATAGGACAACCGTCGACCAATCGGCGCGCGCCATCGCCGGAGCCACGCCCAGATTTTGCTCCTCGACCAATCGGATCGCAGTTACACCCCCCCCTCCCCACCTTGGCACGCGTCGACCAATCAGCTCGCGGGACGAGAGCGGCCGTTACGATTTGAATTTTCCGAAGCTGAAACCGCTGACGCGGCCGTGTGTTCGTGTTTTTATTTTTTTCTTTATTATTTTAATCATTAAAGTTCGTGAGTGTCAAGGTAAGCTACGTTTACTTTTGCCTGTTGTTGTTGTTGTTGTTTTGTTTTAAAGTATTTTCTCAGGAGAACCGTTGCTACGGCCGCTGTATGTTGTGAAAGTCCGGTGAGCCCTGAGGCCTAGACTCGACTAGCCGATTGCCCCGCGCTTTGTTAAATAACAACAAAAATGTTCGTGGCTTCGATCTTTAGACTTAAAGCTTTCGCGACTTGCATGCATTCATATTCTTGTGGGTCTTCTGGTAAAGCCACGTCGATGGCTTCAAAGGAAATAACAAAACGAAAACCGCCCACGACGTCTCGATCTCGTAGTTGCCAACGAAACGCCGTCGGTTTTTTGTTGTTAATTTTTGTTATTTTTTTCTTTAAAACTATCTACGTGACTTTGCCGAAAGACCCAAAGAGAATATGTTGTGTGCCCCGTTCTGTTTACGCGACACAAACCTTTACCCATCGAACCGCGTCGAGTGTTCGGCGGGGTTGATGACGATGCCACAGTTATATTTATTTATTGACGCAATCTATAACATCCACCACTCACCTCTCTCCAAACTAAAATAAAAACCTATACGCTACAGAAACGCAAGTTGCTGTAGCGTATAGTACAAATTGTACGACGCAATGAGGTGCACACACACACACACGCAGTTGGTGGTGAAGTTATAGCCGGGTGGCTAAAGCGTGCGTTGTGTGTGTGTGTTGCTAAAGCACAGCAAGTTGGCACAGTAGGGGGGCACAGGTGGTGCATCAGCCGGTCATCTCAGTCATATCGGTCATCTCGGTCATCTCAGTCATCTCAGTCATCTCGGTCATCTCAATCATCTCGGTCATCTCAATCATCTCAGTCATCTCGGTCATCTCGGTCATCTCAATCATCTCGGTCATCTCAATCATCTCGGTCATCTCGGTCATCTCAGTCATCTCGATCATCTCAGTCATCTCGGTCATCTCAATCATCTCGGTCATCTCGGTCATCTCGGTCATCTCGGTCATCTCAATCATCTCGGTCATCTCAATCATCTCGGTCATCTCAGTCATCTCGGTCATCTCGGTCATCTCGGTCATCTCGGTCATCTCAATCATCTCGGTCATCTCGGTCATCTCAATCATCTCGGTCATCTCGGTCATCTCGGTCATCTCAATCATCTCGGTCATCTCGGTCATCTCGGTCATCTCAATCATCTCGGTCATCTCGGTCATCTCAGTCATCTCTATCATCTCGGTCATCTCGGTCATCTCAATCATCTCGGTCATCTCGGTCATCTCGGTCATCTTGGTCATCTCAATCATCTCGGTCAGTCGACCCGTGGCACCTGGGTCTGCCCCGTGACCTCCTCCTGCCAGCGGGCGTTCGACACTTCACGTGGTAGCCTCAAGGTGCACATGGCCTGGCACAAGCGTCGTAGTGACGTCACCGCTACTTAGTGGCAAATGGCGGTTGTTGTTGTTTTTGGAGGCCGACGTGTCTGTAACGTTCACGTAGCCGCCGTGCTGTTGTGTGTTAGTTACCATTGCGGCGACGCACCCTGCATTGACAAGAAACATCTTAAAGTGACTATGCGCAAACAGAAAAATCCAAGAAAAAACGGCAAAGTCTTCCAGAAAAGGCAACGTGTTTCAACGCTGTCTGCAAAAATCCCAGTGGGATGCAAGTCAAACAATAACAACCATAAGACAATTTAGATTAAAGTGATCAGTCTAACTCTGTACTACAACAAACAAATACGTGCCTTGCCACGTCTTGTCTTGCGGATTGGTAAAGTTTAGGCAAAGGCTAAAGACCGCACTCAAGATATCGCAAAAGCGCGCCCGTTGTCAATGATAATTTGATGTACATACAGCAGTTGCTATTACCATCCCGCTGTTACAATTAGACCGATTGCTTTACGTCACCAAAGACACAATTAGAATTTTAATTTGACCCCCCGGGGTCTGATCGCGTTAACTGTGGAGCGTCGGGGGTATGGGATCGAACCGGGGTTCGAGAGGTCAATTGCGCGTGTTTGCAGTTGATTGAATATTGACTTGCGATGGTTTGAGAGGAAGGGGAGGATGATGACGATGCAAGTCTGGTGGTGTTTACACTATGAGATCTCTTTTACCAGTGGCAAAATATAGTAGTAGGTTTTTACCCTTTTAAACTGGTACAAAACTGACACCTTTATTCAAGGCATCATGTTTGCAATAACCATAACACAAGTAGTCAAAAAGCAAACAAAAAGAAACAACTCTAAATTTCGATTTAAAGCTTTCGTGACTGCAGGGATTCATCTTCTTAGTTCTTTCGGTAAAGTCACGTAGAAGGGAAGTAAACATAATAAAATAAAATTTTATTATGTTTTATTTTTATTATTTTATTACTTCCCTTCTACGTGACTTTACCGAAAGAACTAAGAAGAAGAAACAACTCTGATGATGATAATAATATGCACTGTCCTTGAAGTTGATTGGTCCACACCCGAGACGGCTTTCTTTAGAGCCTAGTCCCCATTGGTGTTGGACCAGATGACACCAGAAGGCGTACAACTCAAACACAGTGCAATATCAGAGTATTGAGAGCTCGGGGTAAGCATTTACACTATGAGATCTCTTTTACCAGTGGAAAAATATAGTAGTAGGTGCCAGTTTAAAAGGGTAAAAACCTACTACTCTGGTGGTGTTCTTCGAGTTGTGTTGTAGACCGTGTACAACTTTTGAGGATTGTGTAATGTAACGTTTGTTCCTTTTGTAACACTTTTTATTTAGTAAATTCTAACGAATGAACGTGGGGCGGGCTTGGAGTTTTGAGGGCCCGTGACAACCAACGTGCATTGGCGGCACACCAACCGGCCCTTTAAATTCAGCAGTTCTCAAGGTGTTTTTATTATTTCAGCAAGAGGGGGAATCATCTTTACCACCATCGCCGTGAGTTTAAGTGGGTACGGAAACCCATCAAGGGAATATGTAGGGAGGGGAATGGGGTTGAAGAGTATACACAACTTGAATTTTCCGTGATTTCAACAATTAATCGACGTGCACATCATTAACAGTATCCTGATTGATGAGCAAAACAAAATCACAATTTAATCATCAATCCATTGTCATAAGTGAGTCCAAAATATCAATAGTCATGCTCAAAACCACATTGCTATTATAAAAATCATTGAACCTCCATTCATGATGGCAATTTCAATATGGTCATTGTGATGCTCAAAATTAGAGTTATATTATTCTCAAAATCATGAACATTTATTAAAACAGTGTGCTTAAAATGCAAACTTACCAATTTCAACATGCACACAATCAATTTCTTGATTCTTATCGAAGTAAGTCCTATGTATCGTGGTGTTTTCATGCTCATGCTGTCAGAAGCATGTGTTTTAAAGCCCCTTTTTTACACACTTTTAATTAACTTGCCCTGTTTGTATATTATTTCAAATGTTGACGCTTTATTTCTTCGGATCTACGGAGCCTATTGAGCTGAACATTTGTACACAGACTCGTTGTATTCTCACTTGGCAATTCCCGCTGATCCTGGGCCTTTTCGTGTTTTTTAAATCCTTTATATTAAGTTCGCGTGCTTGCTTGCTTGCTTAGGACCGTGCAAATCTTTCGGTCGTTTTTTAACCCACTTCCCGTGATCCAATCGAGCTGACATTTTCCACACAGACTCGTTGTGCCAGACAATTATTGTTCGTGAAAAAAAATTCCCAAAATTTTACACTTTTTAGGCAAAAAAAAATTATTTTACATATATTCAAATAGAACGCATTCATGGCTTTGGCTGAACATCACAGTGCAAGAGCCCAGAGCGTAACCCCTCCACAGGCCGTGGTGGAGTAGCGCAGTTAGTAGCGCCCTCGCTTCCCATGCCAAAGGTCGCGGGATCGATCCCCGCGTCCTCCATAGGCGAATATATTTTTAAATCCTTTATATTAAGTTCGCTTGCTTGCTTAGGACCGTGCAAATCTTTCGCTCGTTTTTTAACCCACTTCCCGTGATCCAATCCAGCTGACATTTTCCACACAGACTCGTGTGTGACAATTAATTTTCGTGAAATTTTTTTTCCAAAATTTTACACTGTTTATGGAAAACTAATTAAATATTTAATTACCAATTGCTTAATACTGGCAGACAATCATCTGACCCATAGATTGCAGCCATCTCAAGCCAGAGGACGAGAGAACTCTAGCCGCCACGCATATAAAGGATTTAGAGTGAAAAACTTTGTTTTTACGGGTTTACTTGTTTTACTTTATTGCACCATTTCAAATATATATTAGAATTATCCAGACAAAAATCAACTGTTGTTAGTGTCTGGATTGAGATGTTAGAATTCATATGTACATATCCGAATAATTTTTTACAAGATTAACATAAACAAATACTAATGAAAAACATGTTTTTCAATGGACACACATTTTTATTTACACTCTAAAGTAGAAAATAAATTATTTTGATCCCTGAATTAATAAAATGTGCTGAATACAAGTGGGTGGATCCAATCCACTTGCTCTCCTACATAGGGATATTTGACCGTTACAGGACCCTTAGGCAGAAAGAAAAAACCCACCAGGGCATATGAGAAGCTAAACGCAATCTCTACGCTGATGGATTCAATCCACTTGCTGTACTAACCACTCATGGTCCCCTCGTAGCCCCAGCCATTTTGGGAGTTTCACAAATCTCTCTGTGAACCACCCACCCTCGTGTGTCACCGCTGTCCTTGTGTCCAACATTACTCCTGTTCCTGTGGAAAAATTTAATTTTCGTTCCGATAGGATTTCGACGGTGATTTTCAATGAAGGTTTAAATACACGAATCCAAAAACCACAACCGTCACAATTCCTAAAGTATGTCCCATTGTGACGATAAAAAAATGTGCAATTGTATTATACAAATTCAAATATGTAATCAGTGTTTTAAATATATCCAAAGATGTGCAGCATCGCTTCTGCTTTGTGGCCGATTGCTTTGTGTTAAAGCGCATTTAACATTTTTCACCGTGTGGTATGCGCGCATACCACACGGTGCCGTTCTTGGCTTCACATTTTTGCGGGTAATTCAAGGTTTGCATCTTTTTACCGCAGTTCTTTGTGACATACTCTCACTGCCAGTTGATTGGCAGGTCATGTGTGGTAGGGTAAAGTGTGAGTAACCCTCCCCCCCCACCTCTTTCAACAACACGTTTGGTCGAACATGGAAGAGTAGACCAATCACCCTCTGGCTTTCGCCAGCGGTGGCGGCAGAAAACGATTTCTCGGCCGCACCTTCACATTTTCTACAAGAGTGGCCGCCTTCTCATTCCGATTACAGCGGTTCCCCCAATTTACGATGCCGTCGAGTAATACATTTCGATTTGCTATCTGCCTCTCATAGGAGTCCCTTCGTTTCTATTAACGATACATGTACAGGTAGTCCCCGAGTTACGACGGTCCGACTTCCGATATATCGATCTTACGATGGCGATAGCGATGCGACAAAATTGTCGAATATTTTAAATTTCGCGCGGCAGGCAAACGCAGCAGCGTACGAGGTACGATGCTGTACGTTGGGGACGCTGCCGGGATTGTTTCCTGAAAGAAACTTTCTATTAAATTGCAGTTCTGTATGTTGAACTTCTTTCGCACCGTACGTAGCCTTGTCGTGCTAATTGGAGGTATGCGCCACTGTTGATAATTGTGATTTTGTACTCACTTTACCCTCGCAGCCACTCAACCTGAATGCAAAATTAATTATAACCATGCGGTGAACACAGCAACAAACCGTGGCAAGACTCGTAACAGTTTTCGGACCTTTGTCAGTCCACCGCTGGAGGGTAACAGCACGGCAGCGGTGACACTTTACCGCACTGCAGAGGTCGCAACCGGGTACCCGATACCCGTACCCTACCCGATACCCGGCTACCCGTACCCTGCCGGGTGCGACCTCTGCCGCACTGGTTAGCGACGGGTGGAGCTCTCCAGATCCCGGCTGGGCTCAGGGCTTTCTAAGCAGCCCTTCGTATGTTCACCTTGAAGCAAAGCAACCGAGCCAGCTTCTCGTGACTCCGCGGTCGTTTGTCCTTCAGGCAGAGGTCGCAACCGGGTACCCGATACCCGTACCCTACCCGATACTCGGCTACCCGTACCCGGCTGGTTATGGGTACGGGTACCCGTTTGCGACCCTGGTGCGGCCGGGTACGGGTAGGCCGTGAGTCACTGGTGAGTCACCGTTTGTCACTCATTTCCCAACGTCTTGTCTCTTCTCACAATTCAAGTTCCTAGAATCAACCCACCCGCGCCTGCAACATGGTTTCATCCCAGATGTCGCAATCAGGTACCCGATACCCGTACCCTACCTGGCCGGGTACGGGTAGGGTACAGGTACGGCCGGGTACCCGTTTGCAACCCTGGTGCGGCCGGGTACAGGTAAGAAATCAAAACCCATTTGTGACCTTTGCCTTCAGGTCCGGCCGTCGCAGCCGCCGCCGGCGCTCGAAAAAGACCATGGCGGACGGGCCCGGGGAGGGCTCGAGCCACATGCGTGTCATCGTGCGGGTGAGGCCGCCCAACTCGCGCGAGAGGGACACCAACCACCGCCTCGTCGTGCAGGTGAGCGTCACGTCTCTCCCCCCGTGTGTGTCACACGAGTTAAGCAGGACCCAGCCTGGACACTACTGGGATTGTGATGATTGTAGGGAACCACCGCCTCGTCGTGTAGGTGAGCGTAGATAAATAGCCAGGGTGTTACAGGGGCGAAGAGTATATACAGTGATCCCTCGTTTATCGCGGTTAATGGGGACCGGAACCCCTCGCGATAGGTGAAAAGTAGGATTGGCCCCCTAGGAATTTCCGTATATGTGTGTGTGGGTACCAGAATGTTTAAAATATGTATATTTATACTTTATATATATATTTTACTTAAATTTATTTAATTATAAAACCTTAATTCTATACATTCACTCTCTCTCTCTCATACGATACGTATTTTGGTGTTCTACACTCACCAATGACAGTAGTATCTTGAGACTTGACTCCAGTAATGACGACGACGACGATGACAATGACGATGACAATGACGACGATGACAGACCTGTGCAGTTCGATGAATGTGATGATGAATGATGATGATGATGGTGTTACTGCACAGGTATAATGAGGCCTTTAAATCAGTTCGAAAAATCCGCGATGCACTGAGGCCGCGAAACTTGATCCGTGAAGTGGCGAGGGATTACTGTATATATATATATTTTTATCATTAACGCAGCGCGTAGACCCGGCTGCGTCTGCACAAGGAGATAGCTGCTTTACGGTCGGCCGGGCGGCTCAGAGGTCAGAGCGCCGCTGAGATCGGCATGTCCCTGTTCTCGCACGCCCGTCATTAAACACAAGCCGGGTTCTCATCTGCAGCCGAGTTGAAGGTCTCCACCCGGTCGACGGCGATTGCAAACACAGCGAGCGAGAAACTTGACGCAATTTCGCGGAAAACCTAATTGACGTAAACGGGCACGTCTTGGCCAAGTGTTGGCCGCCCCTCCGAACGCCTTTTTTAATCTTTATATTAAGTTCACTTGCTTGCTTGCTTGCGCGCTTACGACCGTGCAAATCTTTAGGTCGTTTTTTAACCCACTTCCCGTGATCCAATCGAGCTGACATTTTGTGCGTGACAATTTATTTTCGTGAAAATTTCTTCCCAAAATGTTACACTTTTTAGGAAAAAATAAATTATATTTAATTACCAATTGCTTAATGGTGGCAGGCAATCATCTGACCCATAGGTGGCAGCCATCTCAAGCCAGAGGACGAGAGGACTCTAGCCGCCACGCATATAAAGGATTTATAGTGAAAAACTTTGTTTTTACGGGTACATTTTTTCTCCGCGCGCTTGAAAAGAAAACCGCTGGGCGGGGGGCGGGGGTGCGACGGAGCGAGCGGGCCAGTCGGCGCACACTGCGCCGCGAAACCCCGGCAGCCCGAGTTCGATTGCCCGGTCACGGCTAATGTCGGTGGCGAGTGATGTCTCTGAATCGATCCTGAGACTCCCCCGTCACCACCCCCCCCTCCTCACCAACCTCCGTTGAACAGCGTGTGTTAGTAAGTCGAGGGCTGCCTGCATTGATCCACATGCACCACATTCAGTATTGTGTTCGTAAGTAGAGGACTTGTTAGCTTTGCCCACCTGTATGGCCATCTGTATGTTCATAAGTCGAGGACCACCCGCCCTGTAATTCAACGGGTGATGTGTGCTGTCTGCAAGTCGAGGACTGACCAGTGATGCACACGTGACCATGTGTTCATAAGTCGAGTACTGTATGCACCGGTTGGCGTGCAGTTGATGACTATCTCCGTGAGGATAAAATTTACTCGTGTAGGCCACTGTCCGCCATATACATCTGTAGAACGTGAAGAACCAGCGGCATCTACATCTGCAGAACATGAAGAACCAGCGGCATCTACATCTACACAACGTGAACAACCAGTGGCATCTACATCTGCATAACGTGAAAAACCAGTGTCATCTACATCTGCAGAAGGTGAAGAACCAGTGGCATCTACATCTGTAAAGGTGAAGAACCAGTGGCATCTACATCTGCAGAACGTGAAGAACCAGTGGCATCTACATCTGCAGAACATGAAGAACCAGTGGCATCTACATCTACAGAACATGAAGAACCAGTGGCATCTACATCTACAGAACATGAACAACCAGTGGCATCTACATCTGCAGAATGTGAAGAACCAGTGGCATCTGCAAAACATGAACAACCAGTGGCAACTACATCTGCAGAACGTGAAGAACCAGCGGCATCTACATCTGCAGAACGTGAAGAACCAGTGGCATCTACATCTGCAGAACGTGAAGAACCAGTGGCATCTACATCTGCAGAACGTGAAGAACCAGTGGCATCTACATCTGCAGAACGTGAAGAACCAGTGGCATCTACATCTGCAGAACGTGAAGAACCAGTGGCATCTACATCTGCAGAACGTGAAGAACCAGTGGCATCTACATCTGGAGAACGTGAAGAACCAGTGGCATCTGCAGAACATGAACAACCAGTGGCATCTACATCTGTAGAACGTGAAGAACCAGTGGCATCCACATCTGCAGAACATGAACAACCAGTGGCATCTACATCTACAGAACGTGAAGAACCAGTAGCATCTGCAGAACGTGAAGAACCAGTGGCATCGACATCTGCAAAATGTGAAGAACCAGTGGCATCTACATCTGCAGAACACAAAGAACCAGTGGCATGTACATCTGCAGAACGTGAACAACCAGTGGCATCTACATCTGCAGAACGGGAAGAACCAATGGCATCCACATCTGCAGAACATGAAGAACCGGTCGCATCTACATCTGCAGAACGTAAAGAACCAGTGACATCTGTAGAACACGAAGAACCAGTGGCATCTACATCTGCAGAACATGAAGAACCGGTGACATCTACATCTACAGGAGATAATACAACTTTTAAAGCAATTCTCCGTATTTAGTGTACACGCCACCGTACAACACGTTTGGGATCGACAGGAGGAGTAGAGTTGAACTTACGAACAAATCGACAGACCTCTGGAACCTAGCTCGTTCGTAAGTTGAGAGGAGTCCCTGTATATTGGCGACATGCCCACAACGAATTATTTACAAGAAATCGACGATCTTTGTTCAGTGATTATTACAACAACCACAAAAAATTTCGATTTAAAGCTTTCGTTACTGCAGGGATTCATCTTCTTGGTTCTTTCGGTAAAGTCACGTAGAAGGGAAATAATAAAACAATAAAAATAAAACATAATAAAATACAATTCTCACGACGTTTCGGCCACAACGCAAGCAGCCGTCCTCAGGTGAAGAACAGGTCTGTGTATTTCAGACGCTGTCTTTCCGACAGACCTGTTCTTCACCTGAGGACGGCTGCTTGCGTTGTTGCCGAAACGTCGTGAGAATTGTATTTTATTATGTTTGATTTTTATTGTTTCCCTTCTACGTGACTTCACCGAAAGAACCAAGAAGATGAACCGCAAAAAATCACCGCAATCGGGAGTTGTCCAAGCGTTGACTTTTTTATTGTTTCCCTGAAAGGGGACGATTCTTGGCGCGAGGCTATCCTGGAAGAATTTCTTATTGGAGGGAGCAATATTGTGTTACAAAGGCAGCGTGGGCGTTGGAGAGAGCGATGACACGAGCCATTCCACTTGAAATATAGACGCCAGCGGACGCGCGAGAGGAAAATAACCTCCGTTACTCACTTCTTGGGATGCAGCCGCCGGTGACGTCGGGGGATTTTGCCTTCGGGGTCATTAATCACCGTGGGGTTCGTAAGAATCGCACGTTCACAAATGTGCATTGCGTGGCGAAGGGCGCTTAGTCGTGCGTCCACGCTGCGATCAAGTAGCTCGCCTCCGCCGCCCGCTCGTCATCGCGGGCCTTGGGACGTCACGTGCGCTGGCCGAAGATGGGAACTTGCAAATGAACGGGACGGATACGTGGATTTTTCGGTTACGATTTCGACCGGTTCCTTACGGCCGTCGCGTGTAACGCGCACGTACCGGATGCTTGCCGTTGGTATCGCGTCCCGCGTGTGTTGTGGTCGTCACCGAGGTCTGTACAGTTGAAGCCCTTCCTTTTAACGACGGCGATTGGTTCTACGATTCATGCTCTTAGTTTTTTCAGGTAAAGTCACGTAGGTCAAAAATGAATCTTCTTGGTTCTTTCGGTAAAGTCACGTAGAAGGGAAGTAATAAAATAATAAAAAATAAAACATCATAAAATACTATTGTGAGAATTATATTATATTATTATATTATTTTATTATGTTTTATTTTTATTATTTTATTACTTCCCTTCTACGTGACTTTACCGAAAGAACCAAGAAGATGAATCCCTGCAGTCACGAAAGCTTTAAATCGAAAAGTAAAAAATGAAATTTAAATTAAAAAAAATAAAATAATAAAAATCACGACGTTTCGGAGGCAACACAAGTCTCCGTCATCAGGTGGGACCGTCACAGCCAGATTTGCTGTATCTACGATACCGGTCGTTGAGCGATTTGGTCGTGTGTAGAAAATGCAAGTTATAGGCTTAATTCGTTCCAATTGCTTGTGTTCGTTGTAACCGCGTTGTTTACAGGGGAATGGTCGTTAGGCGAACACATTGGGCTCTATGGAGGCTCGTGGTTATGCGATTAGTCGTTAACACATTAAGATGGGTTCTACTGTAATACTACGATACACTACACTACTTTACACTACACTACTTTGCACTACACTACTATACACTACACTACTATACACTACTATACACTACACTATAGACTACACTACTATACACTACACTATACACTACACATTGGGCTCTATGGAGGGCCGTCGTTAAGCAATGAGTCGTTAGCAGGGGTGCTCATCAACAGGGGTTCTACCGTACCGTGTGATGACTGTCTGCACCGCTGCGGGACACCCCATGAGACAGAGCCCTCTCGCGGGTTATTCTAGCCCTTCCTCGTGGCAAGTAAAAGCCAATAAGTAGTATTAAAAAAACCTTTTAATAAACACGCTTTAATGAAATGTACCGTACGAGTGATGGCAGAACTCCACGACTCCAGGAAGTGGCCCCGAAGCTTGCCATAACGTCAGGGGTCGTGGCCAATTACAGCCAACGTCAGTTGAGCGTGGATCAGAGGTCGCAAACGGGTTTTGATTCCTTACCCGTACCCGGCCGCACCAGGGTCGCAACCGGGTACCCGATACCCGTACCCTACCCGTACCCGGCCAGGTACGGGTACCCGTTTGCGACCCTGGTGCGGCCGGCTACGGGTAGGCCGTGAGTCACTGGTGAGTCACCGTTTGTCACTCATTTCCCAACGTCTTGTCTCTTCTCACAATTCAAGTTCCTAGAATCAACCCACCCGCGCCTGCAACATGGCTTCATCCCAGAGGTCGCAATCGGGTACCCGATACCCGTACCCTACCCGTACCCGGCCGGGTATGGGTAGGGTACGGCCGGGTACGGGTACGGGTACCCATTTGCGACTCTGGTGCGACCGGGTACGGGTAAGGAATCAAAACCCGTTTGCGACCTCTGCCCAGCAGCTTCTGAAGTTCTTTGTCGCATATGTCCAGTCGGTGCACGCGGTAAGAACGTCACAACAACAAGCAGTACAAAAGACACGATAGGAGTGAGAAGTCCAAGAGGGAGTAAACAAGTCGCCCAAAAACAAATACAAACAAAACTGAACCACCCCCCACCCCACCACCCTACCAGGCAAGGCTTGCTGAGGTTTTAAATTGTTTTTCAGGAGCGGCTTGGCCGCAAATGACCTGCGTGACAAAGTGGTCCCATCGTACGGACATTTATAGCACCGAAATTATCTAAGATAATCTTCACCGACGTTCACACCTTCCCCCACGCGCGCTCCGCTCTTAGATTCAGCTCGTAGGCATTCGCAGGCAATATTGTTGTTTGGTAATTTGATTAGTGTACGTGCGTGTGTTTTTTTTTTCGTTGCCCTAAAACCTCTAAATTCTACTGAATTGATATTAAGATTTACATTGAAATGCCAGTTTTTGATTATCAGTTATGTTTTTTGTTTGAATTATGACTGCAGGTATTGTGGTCTATGCAAACATGACTCCTTGTAAAAAAGGTGTCAGTTTTGTTGCCAGATAAAAGGGTAAAAAAACAATTATCATATTTTTTCTTCTGGCAAATGAGGTTCCAATGATGTAAATGCTTACCCCGAGCTCTCATACTCTGATGGTGCATTGTCTTTGAGTTTCGATTTAAAGCTTTCGTGACTGCAGGGATTCATCTTCTTGGTTCTTTCGGTAAAGTCACGTAGAAGGAAAGTAATAAAATAAAACAAAATAAAATAATTCTCACGACGTTTCGGCCACAACGCAAGCAGCCGTCTTTATTATTTTATTACTTTCCTTCTACGTGCTGTAGATTCCTTCCCTCCACCACCCACTCTCCGCTCCCCCGAATTTATAATCTTGTTTTTTAGCACAGTTAGTTCCGAACGGGTCGAGACCATCGACTAAGCTGCACTTGAGAACCCAGTTTTTTTTAATGACGGGCGAGCTCAAACAGGGACATGCCGATCTCAACGGCGCTGGATTAGCGGCGTTCTGACCTCTGAGCCGCCCGGCCGACCGTAAAAGTCACTATCGCCTTGTGCAGACGCTGCCGGGTTTCTGCGTTGTCAATGGTTAGTCAGCGGACACGGTGGGTGATGCTTCATTGATAGTTTAACTATTTAATTGGTGGGGGGGGGCTTTGCGGTATGTGCGTTTCAAGCATGATACGTGGCTGCTGATTGCAAAGACTCGTGGGTCGGGGGGGTTAAGTTGGGACGAACCGCAGCTTGAAGAACTTTCGGGTGAATTTCGTGCGTCAAGTCCACCGCAGCACAATACAAATGGCAAGGAGGTTCGGGAAGCAAATATCGCAGTAGTTGCCGCGTCACGATTCTGTTTCATTTCGTATCGTGAGAAATCGCCGTCGCCGTGGCAATCCTCGCCGGAAACGCGCGACGCGTTTGTTTTTCGTTCCGATCGCCGCTTCGGGGTTTCGACTGACGCCGGTCAACTTCTCCCCCCCGATCTCGTGCCGTTCCGTTGCGCAGGTGGTGGACGACCAGATGCTGGTGCTGGACCCCAAGGAGCAGGCGGAGCCCAGCTTCCTACAGGGGCGGCAGCTGCGGCAGCGCAACATGCTGGCGCGCAAGCCCAAGGACCTGCGCTTTGTGTTTGACCGCGTGTTCGACGACACGGCGACGCAGGAGGAGGTGTTTGAGGGCTCCACGCGCTCGCTCGTCGAGGGCACGCTCAACGGCTTCAACTGCACGGGTAACCGGGCCGCGCGGCGCATCCTGGTTTATAACAATGCAGACTCGGTGTTAGTACGTGAGCACTGTGTGTGTGTGTGTGGGGAGCGGTCTTTGTCTATGTCGGTGTGTAGGTCATGTGTGGGTCTTGGTCAGGGGTGGGGAACGTTCGGTCCGCGGGCCGTACAAGGCCCGCGAAATCATTTGGTGTGGCCCTGCCAAGGCAACCGCAGGCGGGACTCGAAATTCAATAAATCTAGGAGCAAACCTGGAAAAGCACGCCTCGCCAAAGAGAAGCAGTTACAGCCCACCGCATTAGGGGCGAGTTAATTAAACGTTTGACCAAATATAGCGGGCAAATTTTTAAGTTGATGATTTTGTACGGCCCGCGAATTATGTTATGAATATCCAAATGGCCCTTGGCAGATGAAAGGTTCCCCACCCCCTGGTCTACG